TCTCAAACCTAATGGATGTCCGCACCTATCGAGGCGCCAATATTGATTCAGATCACTTTAAGAGTGGTGTATTGGAATCGTTTGCCCGCTACACAAAAAGGGTGACCAATTGGAATGTAGAAACTATAGGGGAATAACCCTCCTTAATACAGCATACAAAATATTTTCGAGGATCATATATGGTCGCCTAAGTACATATTCAGAGGAACTTCTCGGGGAATATCAAAGTGGCTTTAGGCCTGGTCGATCAACAACAGATCAGATCTTTGTGCTAAGGCAAATACTGGAAAAAACCAATGAATTCAATATCGATACATACCATCTTTTTGTAGACTTCAAATCTGCCTATGATAGTGTCCTAAGAAATAAATTGTATGAAGCAATGAATGAATTCCACATCCCCGATAAACTGATAAGATTGGTTAAGACTACAATGCGTAATGTGGCTTGCAAAGTCGAAATACAGGGCGAACAATCACAGGCGTTTGGAACGCATGTTGGGCTGCGACAGGGAGACGCGCTGGCGTGTCTCCTTTTCAACATAGCACTGGAAAAGGCGATCAGAGATGCCCGAATAGACAACAGAGGAAATATTTTTAATAAATCATCCCAAATTTTGGCATATGCAGATGATGTGGACCTAGTTGCCCGCACAACACGCAAGCTAGAAGAAATGTATACCACCTTCTCAAATGCCTCAAAATCTATGGGCCTGCAAGTAAATGAGGAGAAAACTAAGATGATGGCATCAACACCCAACAATAGAGCCAGGAACATCGGTCCCCAATTCACGGTTGATAACTCTACCTTTGAAGTGGTTGACAAATTCACATACTTAGGCTCCCTGATCACCAAAGAGAACGCCATAACGGAAGAAATCAAGCGAAGGATAGTAATGGCAAACAGATGCTATTTTGGACTGAGTAGACATATATGAGAAGTAGAAACTTAAGCCAAAAAACAAAAATAACTATATACAAAACCCTTATACAGCCAGTGTTGACATATGGATCGGAGACATGGGCCATCTCCAAGGCAGACGAAGATCTTTTGCTTATATTTGAACGAAGGATCCTGAGAGGAATATTTGGTGGCATCTGTGAAAATGGTGTTTGGAGGATGAGATACAACTACGAGGTATACCACAGATATAAACAAATATTTGGTGGTAAAGACGTAGTATCTCTTATAAGAATAGGAAGATTAAGATGGGCAGGACATCTAGCAAGATCACAGCAGAACAACCCTCCTAGAAGAATCCTTATGTCACAACCCGTGGGAAGCAGAAAAAGGGGTAGGCCAAAATTCAGATGGAAGGATGGTGTAGATGAGGATGGTAGAAAGATAGGCGCAGCAAACTGGCAACGGTTGGCAATGGATAGGACTGCCTGGTGTAATAGACTTGGGAAGGTCGAGGCTCTTTCATAGGGCTGTAGCACCATTGATGATGATGATGATGATGATGAAATTCGCTTCGCGCTAGTCTACTGTACCGCCTATTGTATCAATTTTTTTCTTTATACGTCACCTAAATATATCAATAATAAGAACACGTAATTTATTATCCCTTTATTTTCTGATTTATGTACATGACTAGGCAAAACAAAATATACAAATATAACATACTTAATACTAAAAAATACAAACATTTTAGATTCATCAGTCGTAAATATTACAACATATTTTTATTACAAAATAAAATAAATTTCATAAGATACGAGGTAGATCACTCACAAGAATTTAGGAATATCTAGTAAGTGAATAATACACAACATAATAAGATAAATTATTTAAAGTAAATGCAAATTCTATCTTTGGCTGCAGTGAGTGAACTGTTTAAATAATATGGAACGGAAATATGTAATTAACAGAAAATAGTGTATTATTTAGTCTCTAGATACTCGTATTTCATTTATAGACATATTTGGATACTACAATGATTATATTGAAGATAAATAACCTCATTAAAAATTTCCTGGAATTATTTAATGAAGAATTAGATGTAGTACGTATTAAAAAAAAAAACTATACTAAAAAGTTATGTAAGATGGGAACTGAATTTTATGTTAAAAAAAATGCCGAATCCAATAAAAATGAAGTTGTTATGTTTATACCTAATCCTGCTTAATAACCATGATAGATGGAAGGAAAAATTACATTAAAAAGTCCAATACAATCCTGTTTTTATTGTCTAAATTTTAACTAAATTTTTGGACGTGTACGAATTTCCGAGTACCTTCGAGGTATAGCAAACTGGCACCCTTTGGAGACCCGTAAACTAATCACAGATAGGTAAACTCATCACCAGCATTTTTGCCCCAAGACGCTAGTTTCTAATGTGGAAGATTGCCTGTTACCTGTTATATACACTTCTTGTTTTAGTGGTAATCTATTAAATTCAGAAATTATTTTAAGCAAATTGCTTCACGTTGAGTGGCCTATCCCAGACAGCACAGGACATCCCTGGGACGTCCATTTTATGTCGTTTTAAGGTCCAAACGTCCCGGGACTTCTTTTGGACGTCCGAGGGACGTCCAAGGGATATTTCTAGTCGGACATACCAGAGACGTCCCATAAGGTCGTCCAAGGGACGTCCCATTAGGGATGTATTAGGGACGTTTTCTAGGTGTTAACTGTGTCATTTTTTTACTTGAGCATATTTTTAACAAAATATAATCTTCCTACTAAACTTTATTTTAAAAAATTATATTTAGTTTTAAATACCATTAATTTATACGAAAACAGACAGAGGCTCCTTGTAGAGAAAAATCTTTATCCTATAGCAGAGCTGTATCTCTAAAATTTTGTTCTGTAGTGGAACTGAAATTTAAAAATTAGGAGATAAAAGAAGAATGTGGTTATGTTTTAACGACGCTTCTATTTATCTCGTTTATTTCTCGAATTATAATCATTGTGGTTGTGGTTGTAATTAGAATTAGTTTATTGCTTTCTATACTAGTTTATAGTTTGGTAATTTATTATTATAGACATTAAGTAGGTATATAGGACTTTTATAGGTAATTTTTGTGGTTGTGGTGTGTTGCTACATTTGTAAAGTAAGTAGAAGTAATGTGCTTAAAAAATACTATAAATTTAAATACATATGTTAATATAAGTACACAATAAAAATCCCATTTATTTTTGCTTTTCATTTTATTAATTTTAAGTTCCCTTTAGGTCCTGTATACATCCTCATTTAGGTCCTATATTAGTCCATGTGGACGTACAATAGATGTCCCCAATACATCCTTCTTAGGTCCTATATAAGTCCGTATTAAGTTCTGTATATGTACTATGTACGTCCCCATGAACATCCCTGGGACGTCCAGGGGACGTACTTTTTGGTAACATTTAGTTCTTATTGGACGTCCCGGGGACGTCCAAATTATGTAAACGGATGTCCGTGGGATGTCCGGACATTTAATGAGGTACATCCTTTGGACGTCCATGGGACGTACTTGTGCTGTTTGGGATTAGACGTATCTGCCAATCTAAATAGATTTGAGACTTAAAAATTTAGCTGGATAGGTTTTCGATAGTGAAGTTTTTAATAAAAATATGTTAAATTATTATGAGCATGTCGTATTTTCGGGTAGGTATACCCTATATGGTCCCTAACTTCGTTCTTTGATTTGCATTATATTTTTCAAATTTTCGTTGAATTCTAGTTATATTTTGTTGAGATAGAGTTGGTCTAAGTTTTACCGTTTTGGAGTTATTTTACTTTTTTGAAAATAATAGGCGATTTTAGATACTTGCCAAATTGAAAATGGGTCAAAAATGGAGTATGGAGGCGAAGAACCTAAGGAAAAGTAGTCGTCTAACAATAAAACAGTTTCTTCGCCCGTAGGGGTATGGGAACCAAAAAGTTCTATTGCCCCTATATGTAAATCAATCATAGACAGAGATAAAGCTAAAGACTCTATCTATAGTGACTCAAAAATATCTTCACCTGTGTTGCATGGATCTCAACGAGCCGGTAAGGCTCCTGAATGGTTGAACCTTCGATTGTTGCTAGGACCTTGACCAATAACTAAATGGAATGGAAAGTAATGTATGCGGATACTGCTAGCGCCTGGTGTAAATTGTCGAATGACAGGTTAGACAGCGTGACACTGGTAAGATTACAGTGTGATAGCGTAGGCATTAGAATAAGGTATTAATGTTTGTAGACTATAGTAATAAAATTTCTTGTTGGATCTTAGAATGAATACTTCCACTACCAGAAATTCTAAAATCTACAAATAAAACAGCATTGCTCTATTTTTTAGAATTAACATTTAAACAACAATTTTATTTTTAAAGTGATATTTTTAAAGGTTGAATGCTCGAATAAATGAATTTTAATCAAATAAAATTTTATTAAGTTTTTATTAAATCTTGCCGAAGTATTTTCGCTCCTAGAGCATCTTCAGGAGCAATTCATCAAAATTAGGCTATCCAAGAATATCAGGAGAGAGAACGGAATATCTCTCCTGATGTCTGATACGGAGATATCTGATTCTAAAACACTAAATCCAAATAAATCCAAAATAAAAATATTTAAAATTATAAATATTCGAGATGGCCCGTATTAGGTATACAGCAAGTTAATTTCAGTAATCAGAGGATAAAATCTATTTAAAAATTAATTGTGAAAAAAATACTATGGATTTTGATAATATTAAAATTTTATGTAGTGAAAGTAATAAATTTAAAAGAACTTTTTTGAAAATGGTTTGTATTAGCAAAAGTGATAATAATTTAAACAAAGGGTCAGAAATTCAAAATCTAAGCAAAATTTATAATTATATTATTTCTATGTAGTTTATATATGCAATCAGTAAAATATCACATTTTGAACTTTCCATGTATTTGTTACATTTTTTCAGGCATCTATCAACGGTGAATTAATCTTCTTCTTTTTGTTACTAAACAAAAAAGAATTTTTTTAATAAAATTTTATTTTTGACAATGTGTCAAAAATAAAAATTTTGAAGTTGGTATTTATGACATTGAGGCTTATTTGTAGCTATTCAATTTTTGTTTACAAATTCAATTTTTTTTTTGTTAAGAAACTTTATCAAAATTTATTTTAGAGAAACATTTATTAGAATAGGACATTTTTTTTAATAATATTTTTTGTAATAAGATGTTAGCAGCAGTTTTATATAAAAAACTAATTTTATTTGGTGAGTTAACAAAAAAATTTTATTTCTAGTTCAACTTTGTAAGATATTTTGTATTTTTTAGAAGCTCTTGAGAATAATTGTAATCACAATTGAAAGCTCGAGTAAAAAATAGTCAACAATTAGCCCCTTTTATTGACTCCAACCCATCCAAAACAGTTTTATATTTTTTCCAAACGAGTCACAAGTACTTATTTTTTCTTACTCTTATATATATATATATATATATATATATATATATATATATATTATATATATATATATATATATATATATATATATATATGAACATTAAAAACTCTATAGTATGCTCACTTTTCCTTACAGATAAACACAAGCCAATGAATATAAACGTGAAACGAATATAAACTTATTGTCAAACTTTTCAAATACTTTCAAATCTAAAGAACTTCAATCTGATTCTGCACATATAACTCGGTTTATAGATATGTTATTGGTTATTCAAAAGTGGTAGTGTAGTAAAATCTAACGAAGTATCCATAATATGTTTACATAAAATTAATTAATAGATGCCATCGTTTTTTCAATACTATAAGTACATTAAAGTATCTACTATAGTTTGCAAGTAAATACTTAAGTGTTATTTTTTCACTATATAATATCTAACTCAGTTAGCTTCTAGAGTACAAGGCTGCACACAACCTCAGCTGGAAGTCCTTATAAAGTAGTTTACCGCCTAGAGGAACTCTGCTAAGAAACATGCTGGGAGACATAAGGCAAAGAGCTTTACCATTCATAAGGAACCTTGAGGATGGAATCTCTGGAAGATTGTGCAGTGAGGTTACTTGATTAAGCCATTGGGCTACATTTTCTCTAGTCCACTGCCTAGGATCTGCAAAAAATAGATTTTCTTAATTAAACAATAAAAGTATTAAAAAAAAACTAATAATTAGAAACTAAAAAAATATTTTTTATTTTAAAAATAAAAACCTTGTCAAATTTCAATGAATGTACGCAGGTGTCTTGTAATGATACATTGTTTTCAGAATTTGTAGACGATAGGAAAGTATAGATGATGAAACACTAACTGCTAACAACAAACTTTTTTTTTTAAACATTTAGTTACTAGAAAAAGAAAATATCGACGACAAAGTTTATAGAATCATTTTCTGAAGTAATAAGTACGGGTACCTAAATGTTAAATTATAATCATCAATAATTTTTCGAAAATAATACGGGTACATATTAAATCATTGAATGCCTATCACAAATAAGGAATAATAATTAAAAATTATAACTCTATAATAAGAAAAAAAAAATGTTAAAAAGGAGAGCAAGAATTCATCTTTAAATAAAATACATAATTGACATACGGAGGTGTGATTGAAATCAGAGATTAAAAAAAAGTCCAACAAAGAAAAGTTTACTTAAAAATACACCTTTCTAATAACAGCACATGCATATAAAGGATATGAAAAAATTTGAAACGTAGACTAGTCGCAAAAAACTTGGAAAATTGCAGAACCTTTTTAATAAAAAGGAGACACATTTCTTTAGACAATAAAAACAAATATGATGCTGGATTAAAAAATTTATAATGGTGAAGTTAATATAATTCGCGAGTGAATATAGATAGATAGACAGATAGAGAAAAAGTGTATGCGGAAGAAGTCACAGAGAGAGAAAGAAATAAAGAGAGGGAAAGAGAAGGTATTTTCAGAAACAATTGCAGAATGTAATGTGCGAAGAAATATCTAAACAAATCGGTAAGTATTACGGTGACCACTACGGAAAAAAAGAAAGACATGAAGCAGCATACACATTATGAAAATTACGTTCACATTTCGGAGGCTTCCAGTTGCTTGCACTCTTTTTATAAAAGTGGCTCGAATTCGGGACCATAAATGTTTTGAGCTTCGACCTCCCGCATGATTTTTATCTTGTATGATTATTCTCTGTCTACAGTTACTTTTTCTGTCTGATGCCGGCAAATATTTACTATTATTCTTTTATCTCACTTATCAGGATTTTATTTTTTTAGTATTTTGATACATTTTTCGTATTAAACAATCTCGAAAGCATCTACCGATACTTCCTAGCATCTTTGTACCGACACCTATATGCTGAAGAAAGTCTCGTGTATCGATTCCACTTGTTAAACGGAGCTGTGTATTGCCCATGTTCTGTTCGCATTTGACATGAATTATTTACAAAAAATTTTAAAACATGACTCATGGGACTAATTTTGCTGTATTCGTTACAATATTTGGCTTTTTGCTTCTTAGAAAGTGTCACAAAAACAAAAATAGGTAATAAACAAACTTTATAAGTCTTCTCACTTAAGTAGATTAAATTAAACAGCCTCAATACAATTGAGCGATTTCAAATAGTTTTATATGTTTTTACTGATAAAGGAAAGGAAGTAGACCAAGAATAAGGTGGTGGGAAGCGGCTATCAAAGATGTTAGTACGAGAAAAATAAATACTTGAACTTAAACGGCTATAGACCTACATACATACACAGACTACACCTAAAAATTATATATATCTAAAGAAAAGATTCAAAATATTTTTGTTTTAAATAAATATTTTTTAAAGGGACCGAAAATCCCAGATTTTTAATTCGTTTCATTACATTTTTATTCTTTTATCAACTTTTATTACATGATCTCACCTCTTGGTAGTTCATCATCATAAGACTGATGTACATTTCTGTAATAGGGTACCCTTTCCCATTCGGAAGTGATCGCATATCTGACAGGTGCTCCTGATGCTTGTAGTGTCATCTTTATGTTTCTGTCGTAGTAGCCTATTTTGATAACGTTACTTGGTCAACACCTGCAAGGAAAAGTAAATATTAATTTGATATTGTAGGTCTATATGTGGAATGTTGTTTTAGGTTAGGTCAGCTGGTAGGAGTAGGTATCGATTATTATGATATACCTAATATAGGGCGGTTATAACTTTTGGACAAGCTGTCTACACATTTTTTCCCAATTACATTGTTATCGTACGTGATTCATGCAAGATATACGTTTAGAATATTTGTATAATACAGGTTGTTTTATTAATATGATTAAATATTGTAATTGAGCAATTTCTACATACAATTATTACTGACTCTTTTTATAAACTTTATTCCTTTATGCGATATTTTATAGACCCTTTATAAGACAGTTTTATTTACATAGGTATTTAAAAATGAATTGCCATAATTATTGTACTGGGTATAATAACCTAACATTTATTTATGATATTGTACACAGTGGCGGATCCAAGGGGGGGGGTCATGACGCCCCCCCAAACAAAAATAAAAATACCAATCAAATAATCCTAAAAAAAATAATTTAAAACCCATCAAGCCTATAAGCAGAAAGTCAAGAGTTGTAATGATTCAAACTTATTTATTCTAGTGGTAAATTGCTCAGTTAATGTACATGGCATGACTTTTTGCACGAAATCAGCACATTTTTATTTTGTATTAGGTATTTCTTATCTTCAGTTTACGAATTGGTTGTTTATGATTTGAATATGTATTATAATTGTTGAGACTGTGTGCTATATTTTATAATTTATCTATAATAAATATCAAAGTGAATATTGTTGTTGCATTAGCTCTGTCTATGTTAGTGAATACAAATAAAATAGTGATCTAGTGATAGCAATTTAACAATACATATTGGGAAATATATAAAATTACTTAATTCATTATTTAAAAATGAAAAGACGTAGAATTAGGAATTATTTTACGCCAAGATAAAGTAAAACAATAAAAAATACTACTAATGATGATATGAGACCTAGTACTTTTTTCAAATATTAATGAGCCTGCACATGGCCCTCTGGAGGATACAGTTAAGGTATCTTATTCTTACAACTCGTTGTCAGCTGTTGCTGTTCGTGAGAAATATTTCAATACCGAGTAAAAAAATATTTCACTTACTTAGCGTAAGTAGCCTAATATGCCTAATTATAGAAATAACTATTCTTAAATTGTATTATCTTTTTGTTGAATAAATTAATTTAAACAAAATGCTGTTTAAACTTTTTCTTAAGGTTCCTTCTTCATTACGGAAGGGTGGCTATTTGCTCCGTGCGTGACTGACGCGACACCTACTGCCTTCATCTGACAGTTTTGCACCTCCCAATTTGAGGTTAAACATATTTCAAATACATACGAAACTGATAATTATTAATACATAAGTAGTATTTTAATTATATTTTTTCAGTTTTTGTACAAAATAAATGTATTAAAAATTGAGTTTCTAAAAATTCATCACAATTTATCTTTTCAACCAAAACGGCGAAGAAAGGAAAACATTTAGTACTGGAAAATCAAGTTTTTCATGTGGAAGAGCATGTAATTAAAAACAATAATAGCAAAAGTTATGATATAAAAACTAAAGTCATCAGGCAGGCTGCAGTTAGCTTGTAGCCTTATGAAATATCATTTACGGTAAATTATTTAAATTTTTCCTATTTCAATTGCATAAAAATGAAATTATGTGATATTTACTTTTTCATATTAATAGCACGAATCCATCTTTTTCTTTTGTATAATTGGCATCGTTTTAAACTACCCCTACGATGGTCACACACGGAGCGAATAACTACAGCAAATGTCTCTCTATCTTGAGCTGTTATTAGTATCGAATGTGTGTCCATGCCTATCCAGTCTCTTACATTCTTCAGTCAGGAGCATTTTCTTCTTCCTGGACCTCTTTTCCTTCTACTTCCCCTTCCCTTGTTGGTCACGTACTCTGTCCACGAAATCTTCAGCATCCTTCGAAAAACACACATTTTAAAGGCTTCTATACGCCTCATACTTGTAATTCTGAGAGTCCATGATTCCCCTCCGTATAGCAATAAGGAATAAATGAATGTTTTTACAAATTGATATCGGATATTCAGCAATAAGACAGAGTTTATTAGGAATGTTTAACACATTCATTAATGTTTACACGTATATTGAGTTATTGCATTTAAATTACTTAACTTCGGTTTATACTTATTTATCCTTGGTTTGTTCTTGATTTTGTAGCCATAGGTGGGTTTAAATTAATTGTCTTTAAAATACCTAGTTTAAATTAAAAGTCCTTGATTTTTCAGTATTTATATTTTAATAACTTTCCTTTGGTTTAGTAGTCTTGTACATTTGATTTTACTGTCAGAGTATGTGGTATCAAATTTTTTTTTGGTTTAAGTTTATGACCCCTTAATGCTGTACCGTTATTTGTACCCGTAGGGTATTTGGGTTTTAATTAGTTTAATATATCGCTTAAAATAATTATTAAGAAAATGGTTCCCTTGAGGCATCAGGCATCAGACCACATGAGGCATCAGGCATGAGACATTACAAATCATATAAATCGTAAAGGTACCAAAATCTAAATCCTATATCAAAATCACCCTCAAGACCCATGCCCCCCACAAAAATTTCTGGAGATCAGCCACTGAAAGGTGCAAAAACCTAAATCATAATATGATATCAAAATCACCCTAAAGACCCATGACCCACCCCCGACAAAAATTTCTGGATCCACCACTGATTGCACAGTAAGTTTAAATATTTTAAAACTCATGAAATTATAATTAAAATTACTTTTCGGATATTACCAGAAGCTTACGGCAGGGACACAGGAAGATATATCTATTATTAAATTCTACGCTACTGATCAGATTGCATTTATTACAATTTTTAAATTTCTTTATAGTTTTTATCTTAATAATATACTCATTTGTTTGTAACGACAAATACGACTTTTAGAGATATTTTAACTGCTCAATGATTTGTCTCCAATATGTATTTATCGTGTCAATATTTTCTGCCACAAGATAGCATGCACTACGTTAATTAAACTTCTTAATTACTTTTCTAATGTTTATAACTAAATTTAACAAAACAATTAACGTCAGAAAAGTTAAGGATATCCGGTAATACATAAACAATAATTGTCAATTAAAAAACATTTTTGTTACAATATTATAGGAAACGTTTAAAATACTCCGTAATAAAAGTTCCAGGTTAATGATTCAGTTTGTTAAACATACTTTTAGTTTTAGAATTTATATTTGATATAATTCGTTTATATGTCTTAATTAATATGTGCTAAGAGTATAAACAGTTTTTCCAATCATTCTCTAACTCTAGAGTTCGATATTGATGTTCTATAATTTTTATGAATTTTATATAAGTCCATAATAAATCCACATTCTTTTAACACATACAAAAACTATATGTGAATATAATTCACTCCTCTATTTACAATCTACATGTAGAATTAGGAAATTGTTAATTCTTCATGTAGAATTATTGGTTACCTATTCTTTCTTTTCTCTACGTCTCAATTAATTTTTAAATATTTAAATAAAACAACTCTATCTCATAATATCCCATATACCTATCTCATAAATCATAATCGTAAGAATCGTGTAGAAATATTTCTTACAAATCATTTTAGTTAGGTTATCTCAAAACCAATCAGGAAAAGGATTACATTAAATCTACTCTAATTCTCAGCCGCACAACTCATTTAGAATAAAACAAATGCAATACTCGCATGTGAATTTCCAAATAGATATAGTTATTAAATATATTCACCAAGGTAGTACCCAGTATTCTTTTGTTCATTGTTAGAGATAATAAGGCATTATAAACATGCCGTCGTTCATTAACTACTTCCTCAGTTTACATTAAGGAAAAATTAACAAAAGACGATTGCTTGCGGACGTCATACGTTTCCTGAGATTGTCTTTGAAAAAAATTGCTGTTGTGCTTGAGAACCGCCGATTCCGCGTTCGACTCTCACAAATACATTCAGAAAAAAGCAACGAAACATTAGGCATGTTATAGTTAGTTTTATAGTTCATGAACTGTTACAGAAAACTGTAAAATTATTCAAGTGAAAGAACCTTTTATATATAAAATGTTTAAAAGAGTCAGAATAGACTATTATATTTCTGCTTTTATACAGTAGACTCGCGATTATCCGAGGTATTTGGGAACCTGACAACCTCGGATACGGAAAAACTCGGTTGACACTGAGATTGGTTGTACTGATAGAAAAACACGTAAATAACCGATAACTGTGACAATTTTAGTGACTAAAAACTAATACAGTACTATATATAAAAGATAAAACCATTTACCTTATCCATATTACTCTCTGTGAGGCGGCGATATTGCGTCAATGTTCAAAATGAAGGCCGTCTACTGGCGTCGATTCCTCTTGCTGCAGGATGTATGCGAAAGCTGCTTCAAGGTCCTACAACTCATCTGAAGATGGAATGAGAAATCTTTTGAGTTATCTCATCTGCATCTTCTTCATTTTCATGGTTGATGTTTAGATCGGCAATTGTCTCATCTGTCAGTTCCATTTCTTCATCTCCATTCATTCAATTGATGACATTGAATGAATGGAGTTTTTGTTTTCTATCCGAAATCATTTTTTTCCGTGATTCTTGAGTGAATAGAAACTTCTACGTCGTCCCATGCAGATGTAATCCAATAGCAAACGCCTTTAACCGTCATCTTCTTCAATACGTCAATTACAGTTAACCTTTCATCCGGTCTGTTTAGCAGTACATGAAAAAGCCTCCGCCGATAATTCCTCTTCATTGCTTCTATAACGCCTTGGTATAGGGATCGGATGAGAGACGTCACATTGGGTGAAAGGTACACAGCTCTTATGTCGCCACTAATAAATTCACTCGCTTCTGGGTGGGATCGTGCGTTGTCCAACAACAACAAAGCTTTCGGAGGTATATTTTTGTTTTTTAGGTAGGAATCAATGACTGGTACAAAGTCATTAAAAAACCAGTTCCCAAAAATGTTACAG